TTTATTAGGGCCATCAATTCTCCCATATCGGCCGAATTTTTCTTGGTCAAGGATTGATAAAGGTTGGTGTCTCGGGAGAGGCCGAGTGTTACAACTTTAGAATTGATCACCCAAGTGTAGGTTGTGAAAAGTAATAAATTTCTCGGGAATCCGATGTCAAACCACAGGGAATTGAAAAAATAAGATACACAAAACAAAAAAAAAATAAACTTGTAAGAACAATTTATTTAAGAGATTGTTGAGTCGAGAAAATATTGGTTGNGGATTTCTCGGACCGTCTGGGGACTTTGTACATCCAAGATGGCCTGTATTTGCTCCGGGTTGGCTTCGACTCTGCGTCGACTCACCAAGTATACCATGAAATTTCTGGATCCAACTCCAAAGACGCACTTGGTGGCATTCAGTTTGAGCCTATACTCTCGAAGGATTGAGAAAGTGTTACTCAAGTCGGTTAGATGATCTTCGCTTCTCCTACTCTTGACTAACATATCATCAATATAGANAGTGATTAAGGACTCAAAATTTAACTTGGAATAAGAATCAGATGTTAGTTGATTCGAATAACAAATCAAGTAAGAAAACCAAAAGTTATAATCAAAAGATTATTTAGGAACCTGAATAATCATTCAATTATATTATTTTATGAAATAATGATAATTACCTCAAGAATGGAATAATCAGTTATTTATTCGCAGGGAAATTCAAGTAATCTATATACATGGCACAACAATTCAAGGATTTTTACAGANCAAACGGATGGAAGGGAATTTGGTGGTAGCCTGCCCTAGCGTCTAGGAAGGCCATCCGTTGGTGTCCCGCCGTGGCGTCTACCAGTTGGTCCACCTTGGGNGAATGGAATAATCAGTTATTTATTCGCAGGGAAATTCAAGTAATCTATATACATGGCACAACAATTCAAGGATTTTTACAGAGCAAAAATTTTGTTATAAGATCAGAAGTTAAATTAACAAAATATCATAAATTATTAAACTCAAAATCAATAACATTACCATACTTCATTAAGAGATTCTCCCCTAGCTCTAGCTTAGTCTTCTAGCCAAACATGACAAACTAAAACTAGAAAAGAAAAGATGAGAAAAGAATTATCCAATAAATCTTAGATAAGAACCCTTATTTATACTAAAAATAAATTTTAAGTATAAGTAAAAGATATAAGATTGGCTAGGAAGGAATTCCTTTCCAAAGAGAAATCTTGTAAGGTTAAATCCGGTGCATAAAATTTTTGGGGCGCGGGTACAAAATATGTCCAGACTTCGAGCTTGAATTTTGCATATTTAGATGCTAAATCACGAAATTTTCGTGAAATACACTTTTGTAGCCCTTGGAGTCTTCTTTCCAATCCCCAAAAATCAAGTAAATCGGATATCAAAGTCAAAAGTTATGACCAGAATACTGAAAACGTGTCAAATCATTATTTTTCTAGGATACTTTCTTAATCCAACTTTAAATGAGTTTTCTTCCATCTTGGACTCTTATAAAAATTAAATTGATGTCATATCTTCAAGTCTTCCTATCTCAATATTGACTCTTCAATCCTTATTAGTTGTGATTATTCCTGTAGTGATTGATTTATTTGTCTTATCCATTATTACTTTAAATCAACCAATTTACCTGCAAAATAAACCAAACAACTAAAAAAAGTATCAAACTAAAAAATCAAGGAATTCAACACATTTAATCACAAATAATATGAAATTAATCAATCATTAAATATAATAAAATAACAATTTTGATGGTTAATCACCGAGCCTGAAAGGTGTTGCTGCCATAACTTTAGAATATCGCTCACCTCCTCCCAATAGCGAGTTGCATATTGACGAAGGGTTTCTCCTTCCTTCAACCTTAGTGTCAGCAATGATCCGACATCTTTGGGTCGCCTACTTCCCGTGATAAATCAGGCGAAAAATTGCCTAGTAAAGCTCCTTCCAAGATCCTACACTGTTAGGCGGAAGTGTTTTGTGAACCACTTCATGGCGGAGTCCCCTAGGCATATTGAGAATACTCGACACAGCAATCGCTGATCCGAGTGGTATAGAGACATCATTTACTTGTACTGTCTGAGGTGGGCTTCTGGATCAAATTTCCCATCGTAGACTTTGAACCATGGCACCGTAAACTTCTTGGGCACCTCCATCTCCATTATGTTTCTTGTAAAAGGCGATTAGATGACTTCATCGTCAGTATCGAACTCCAGGGGGGGTCTTGTTTCTCCTTCTAGAGTCCAACCAAGCTCTAAGGTCTCTTTGTCCAGGGACCACATCTCTATGTGCTCGGCGTTGGACGGTACGATCATTTGTCTCGTGTCGAACAAAGAGAGTCGATCCCTCTTGGGACTCTTCCACACCCCCTCGCCCGGACAAGCCCCAACGAAGGTCATCCCAGGCCAACGGCCTAGCCTGCTTGGCTGGAACCTCCGAGAGTTGTCCCATGGCCCTCGGACGTTTCGGAGCCCTGGAGCTTCCAGCTTTGTTGCTTAAACGATTTTTCAGATCCTCAGGTTCTACTCCCCTGATGGAAGGTTCCCGGGACCTGATCGAATTCCGTGATCCTAAGCCGAAGGTCGCAAACTCGTTAAGGCGATTGAGGACATTCACGTTGTCCTTTTCCAACTGGCGCAACCTATCACCAAACTTCTCCTCAATCACCTCAGCCAGTTGGCGGGCCAACGGGGCGGAGCCTCTTGACCCGATATCCATGCTAGTTTGATGGTTTGGCTCCTTTGAATTAACGGAGATCTCTTCTTTGGCACTTTTGACGTGGTCTCTCGTTCTTGATGGCAAAGAAACTGGTAAATTAAGATACCTTTGTTGGGTACCCTTCCCCTTTTGTCGAGTATTCACCATGGTCACTGTCTTTTGGAAAGTCTAGTCTTTCCCACAGATGGCACCAGATTGTGCGGAACGATTTCTGCACAATAGTTGAAATGAGAACAGATCTCTTCCACAGTAAGACTCGACTCGTCGAAGCGGTGGATTCGACAACAAGAAATAGATTGAGAGGGCCAAAGGACTGGTGATGAATTGTTTCTGGTGGTTCACAAGGGATTCCTGAAATGCAGAAAATAGGTTAGGAGGGCGCCGGAGTATTTTTTGGCGTATCCCCTCCGACGGTCAAGTTAGTTCTTTGAGAGAAGTGAAGAAAAAAACACTGTTACGGCTCTTGAGAGGTGAATTTGTGTACCTTTGCAATGCGCTTTTGAGGGCTATTTATACCTTTAAAGGCTAATCATTACTGACAGTCTAGTCAGTTGGTAATCTTCAAAGATGGAACACTGTTCTCATACTTTTCATAGGGAATACTCCCATCTTAATTGCTCGCACTGTTTGGGCATTCAATGTTCTTTCTCCAATGTTGAGGTATTAAATGCTTGGATCCCAAATCATTCAATTCTTCTCCTGCCTGGCTTATCAAGCCATGTTAGATGCCTTATCAACTGACAATGCATTAAATGTCTATCTTTATTAGCCGCATATCAGCAGGGGTAGTTCTATCTTTTTACCACCAATCCTATGCTTTATGTCACGCGTTTGACTCTCTTTGGCTGAATGTCTAGTCCATCCAGTCATACTAACTTCATCGTGCAGAGTGTCATCATAATTGCCCACCTGGCTTTGGTTCAGTCGCCAGTCATTGGCTTCTTAAGGAACCAATGACTCAATGATTGATGTTGTGGTTCCTCGGACCCGAGAAAACTCCTCAGGGCCGACGAAGATACTGGTCCGTTGGAGTAGAGGGGATGTTGAGGCCGAGGACACGTGAATGCGTCGAAAGGCAAGGAGATGCCCTCATGTCCGAGGACACGCGTCATCACCACAACACCCTTCTAGAAAATGTCCCATCATCTGGCAATGAATAATAGATATAGTCAAACTCAAACATTGAACGAGAAAATTCGAGTTCTTATCCATTTGACGAGAAAATATTCATCACAATGGTAACACCATGTGACAAGTTGATATGGTATCACCAATCAATAATACTAAAACAAACAAGCAGACAGATCCCACAAAAATCAACAACTAACCTGCCATATAAACAAATAACTCCCCACCCTTTTGCAATGTAAGCCCAAGTGGGATTCACTTTTTTCATTTAGGATTTTATTAATTGAAGATACATAAATTGTTTTTATACATCACCTGTCGAGTAACTAATAATTAATACAATAATTAAGAAGAGAGAGAGTTAACACTAACAAGACAAAAATGTAGAGTAATTCGATCAATATGACCGACTCCACTATGAAGGGCTAAGATGGTTTGTTGTTTTATTGTTGTAAGAGTGTAAGGACTAAGGAGATCAAGCGAGAGCAATAGAAGAGGTACAAGCTCTGAGAGAAGTGAAAGTAATACAAGATGTGCTCGATATCCCCCATATATTGGCAAGACTTACAATTTATAGTATCTCTCAATAAACTGAAACGTTTTTTTAATAACTAAGTAGTTAATTTGGTAGAACTGACACTATCTTCTCAATGGCTGAAGCGGTTAGGAGCTCCCTTAAGATCAAGTCAAAGGATGATGTGGTTGACTTTTTTCAAGGCAGTTTAGATGAGACTTTTGGGATGCGTTGGCTACTCCTCAATGCCATAGCTCCTGAAACCCTGATGAGCCTGAATGATGTGAGCCTCTTTTGGTTTGGACCCATCGAGTTTCTTCTTATTGGGCCTTTATTCCAACTGGGCTTATAACCTAAATTGGACCCTTGAACCTAACCCATCATTATTGATTCGTGATACCATGTCATCAATGGTGACAAGATATCACCAGGATATTCAATATTTACTCCCACTTGATCAACCGCGATGGTTTTTGCTCACTTTTCAAAACTGAAATGGGTAGAAATGCTGGGCCTCTCGGCTTTACTTCTTCTCATCACAATAGGAACCATTATGTGATGAGAAGCAGTAATTCCGATCTATCTTCGCGCACCAAGGGATCGGGAGGAAGGGGAAGGGGTGGAGGAGCCAGAATGATCAATTTATTGAAATGATGTTATGTACAAGTGAAATGCAAAGGGGTTGATGCCCCATCTGCAGATTACATGACAAGGAAATTATATACACACATGTACAAAAGAGCCAGATTGTGAGAAAACCTTTCAGCGGCTGATGTCAAAGTACTTTGGATCTGATGGGAAATGATACTCAGTGTGTAACTGCAATGACAAAGAAACATGTCCAGTTAGAGTCAGAACACAATTGACACTCATCAGAACAAGGATGTGGAACTCTGGTTCAGGAGAAATAAAGGTCCAACATACGTGGTGATTATAGTTTAATCAATTATGCTGAAAAGCTGTTCATTGCAATGCAGGCCAAGTAAATCAGCATCTTTCCTACCCAAGGATCAAAACTCCAAAACCACCAAAATGTTTTGGCTTCGATGGAAAACAAAACGAATGAGTGATTGAATATCAATATATCCATGTTTCAGAATGTTTCAAGATATTTTAAAATATAGTTTGAAATATTTTCAACCAATGATAAAAATCAAACTTCTACACGTTCCCTATGTTTTCATTCTGTTTCCGAATCATTGCTGATTCTATATTTTCTTTATGTTTTCATTCTGTTTCTGAATCATCGCCAAAACATTTTTCCAATGTTCATGACCGAGTTGGGACCATCTTCACCCTGAACCAACAGGATTATATAGTTTCTATTCCTAGTGTTGCAAGTTGAGAGAAGTCTTAGAACTCAAGAAAAAACTGTAAGAAAGCAATAAATAGATTAATAAATAAATAAAGACAATTATATAGAAAACAAGGTATAGATTTATTCAGTTTATGCAGAATGACAGTTTTGTCCGAAACAATATAGAATGGCTAGAAATACTTTGCCATTGAGTAACAAGTTTCGTTGATGGTGGGTTTCTTTGGGGGAAGGTAGATAGTACAAAAAAAGAACAGAGATTGCTAAAAAAATAGTCAAGCCTGACACTTCGGAACAAGCCACATGCACATAATGGCATATATGCAGATACAAACATGAGAACTATAATAATCACCATCCATGATAGATTTGCACATACCTTTCCCTCATCTGCATCCGAGTGACGTTGAGGGAATACCACCCTCATATCATTATATAAGTAGAAGCGCCGTTCCTCTTCAATGTCCATACTGTCTCTGGCTGGTGCAGAACAAGGATCAGATCTGCACCTTTGGACTGTCCTCGCATGTTTCTTCAGGAAGGGACATGAAAAACGGAGATGAAGAGCATAACGCAGAACACCAGAACCAGAAATGTTCTCATTCACCTTTGAAGGGCAATTTACTGATTTTGTTTCAGTTACACTGGATGTTACAGGTGGGATGATGTACTCCCCACCAGCCTCTACNTAGATTTATTCAGTTTATGCAGAATGACAGTTTTGTCTGAAACAATATAGAATGGCTAGAAATACTTTGCCATTGAGTAACAAGTTTCGTTGATGGTGGGTTTCTTTGGGGGAAGGTAGATAGTACAAAAAAAGAACAGAGATTGCTAAAAAAATAGTCAAGCCTGACACTTCGGAACAAGCCACATGCACATAATGGCATATATGCAGATACAAACATGAGAACTATAATAATCACCATCCATGATAGATTTGCACATACCTTTCCCTCATCTGCATCCGAGTGACGTTGAGGGAATACCACCCTCATATCATTATATAAGTAGAAGCGCCGTTCCTCTTCAATGTCCATACTGTCTCTGGCTGGTGCAGAACAAGGATCAGATCTGCACCTTTGGACTGTCCTCGCATGTTTCTTCAGGAAGGGACATGAAAAACGGAGATGAAGAGCATAACGCAGAACACCAGAACCAGAAATGTTCTCATTCACCTTTGAAGGGCAATTTACTGATTTTGTTTCAGTTACACTGGATGTTACAGGTGGGATGATGTACTCCCCACCAGTCTCTACAAGTTCAGAACAGTTGAACTCACTACAACGTGAGGCCACTTTGGCAAGATCCTGAGGGTAGCCAGAGCCATCAGTTTCCATCATGTTAACATTTGGGTTTGTAGAAGTTATTTTATGTACATCATCAACTCCATTTGAATTAGCAAGTGGCATGCCATGCTGTAAAGAATGACAAATATCTGCAGTTATAGAAGGCTTGACCCCATTTTTCAAGACAGGATCTTTATTTCCACTTCTCAATATGGAAGCCGGTGCAGAAGAAGATAGAGTAACCTTTTGGCGCATAAACGTCTGTAATTTGAATAAAATGCAGAGAGAAATGGACAATGTAAGCATATTGGTTTACACAAAATAACAATGTCAAAAAATTTAACCAAAACCACAAAATGAAAGCATTAAAAACCCATGATAATTCAACATGAAAAGGTGAGTTAGTGAAACTGTGCATTGAACTTCACACATTGTGCATCCTAGTGCTATCACACACCATGAGTCTCAAATCTTATACACTAATCAGAATGCATATCCAGCTCAGCTGCTAGCCAGATAATTGAGCAGGCGGAACCACGCCGCAATTCAGCTTTCCCAAGCTTTGGTCCATCTTTTAATCCAGCTAGATTACTGATGGCTTTGAGGGCACTCACTCTCTCTCTCTCTCTCTCTTTCTCTAGTCTAACATTGTACCAGACGTTTGGCCTTCAAGTCTCTTTGTACGAGGTTGTTCCCCCATTCTGTCAGTCCATTTCTACTTGTTCTGGACAGTGCAGCTAATCATTTCTCTCCATATTTGAGATCACATTTCTGTTGGGGGCTTGATGTACATTGTTTGCCACATTTCCCAATACCTTAATCCATTCTGTTTCAATTCTATTAAACAACATTGCTTCCAAAAGTAGAAGTAGATATCCATAAATTAATTTTTAGTTCTATTTATCTTGAATTCTTCAAAACTTTTAATTACTGCTAATTTCTACTTCAATTTCACTTATGAATACTATATCAGCTAATTATATAAACCATGGACCCTCATCTTGAATGTGTATGGTTAATTCATCCATATCCAAGGTAAAAATATTTGAACTTAAGGCGGAACCCCCTAACTGTGATACTTGATTTGTCCACACAGTAATTCTCGTGACGTAAAAAATAGCCCAGTACTTCTCCTGTGATCTTAGTTAAAATATCAAAATACTTCATTTTGTTAGCATTCCCTTTTTTGAGTTTGTTTTAGAATATGTAATTTGATCTTTTCTAATGGAAAAAGAATAGCTTTTGTAATTAACATTGCACCCTGATATAATGGCTGTAAATCATCACCTACTACTCCTAGTCTAAAAATTATTGGACGCCATGAAGACATATTTAAAGGTACGGTGTATCCAAAATCTATAACTTACATAGCAGCCAAGATCAATTCAGTCTCCTTGAGATAAAAATCAGATGTAATGGATGACATATGAGGAACAGAACCTTCCCTGTGCCCCACAAATTTTACTTATTGTTTGCCGTCATTTTATTGCACTGTTTTATTCTTCTACCAGTCAAAAGTCTTTCAAAGCATAACAAAATCTTAATTTTTTTAACCAATAGAAAAAAACAAAAGCGGATCAAATGTAACACCTTTAAGGCAGATAAATAAACCACTATTAATTACTATAGTTGAGCATACACCCATTAGATGGTGAGATAAGGAAAAAAAAAGCACCCATCAGGCCATCAGAGGGTAAAGCTTCGAAATTTTCTGATGAANCGTCATTTTATTGCACTGTTTTATTCTTCTACCAGTCAAAATTCTTTCAAAGCATAACAAAATCTTAATTTTTTTAACCAATAGAAAAAAACAAAAGCGGATCAAATGCAACACCTTTAAGGCAGATAAATAAACCACTATTAATTACTATAGTTGAGCATACACCCATTAGATGGTCAGATAAGGAAAAAAAAGCACCCATCAGGCCATCAGAGGGTAAAGCTTCGAAATTTTCTGATGAAAATTAAATAATAGCTCTTGACAGTGTGCCACTTGGCCCACTCATAAGTATTGCACCTACCTTCGTACCAGCTGGCATGTCACTCAAATCATAGTTGCAAAAGAAAGTGTGAATAGGTGTCTTTTCCGGATTGCTGAGAACCTGCCAAAAACAATTCAGTTTCAGCCAAAAGAGCCATCCTTCGACAATACCCAAGCAAGATCCTTGGCAAGCATGAAATCCTTCTCATGGACAAACTAATTTGAAGGCCACTACAGGCACTTCACAACAATGAGGATTAGCAGACCTATAGTGTATCAACATTACAGAAGTTTGACCATGAAAAATTGGGTTCACGTTCATATTAATGAAAAGCCAAGTCATTTCATTCCTTCTTTAGCATTTATTATTCCCACAACACTGGCTACCATTTTTGAGCATGAACTCCAATCTCAAAGTTATTTCATCTTAGGGTCTCTAGGTTGGAACCCTCTACCCGTGCAGGACATGGACACCTGCGTCAGTTTCCTTCATTAGTTAGCTGCTACAAGAGTATGGGAGGACAGTCGAGTAATACAAACCACAGTTCAAAAAATTTAGTCATGGTATTAGACAAGATCTTGATGTACGTCATATATCTAGAACAAATATCAACCACCAATAAACCTCTCCTAATATCTCCAGTTGACATGAAATAAACATCACAAAAATCACTCAACTACAACCCTAGCAGAGCAACCACCTATCAGACACGACCATATAATATACAAAATAACATATAAATTAAAAAGGAAGAACACATAACTGATAGCACTATACAAACTAAAGCAAGAAACAGCCATGATGCAGATAGGGGTGTTAATAGTACTGAGCTTGTCAAGCTTGAATATGCTCAAGCTCAGCTCGCTTGTGCCCAGCCAAGCTCAACTAGCATGCTTAGATCCTTGCTCAACTGTCATGGTTAGATTCTTGCTCAGAATCGAACCATAAAACTTAACAATCAATCCTAAAATAAACAACTTCTCAACAAAAATCTTCCAAAATCTGTATCAAACGTCAAATAGAACCTTAGATTTAGTTTTTCCAAGTGGAACTATTGGGAATAAGCTTGAAGTTGTTCATCTTTCAAATATGGGTTGATCAACAACATACATATACCTATACAAGCCAAACTGAGTTTACTCAAACCTAGCCACCCCTTACTAGATTGTTCAGAAAACAGAAATCTAATCAGATTCGTTTCATTTTGCAGTTTGAATAAGCCAAAACCGAGTTGAGCTCGAGCTACTCTAATTGTTTAACTGCCCCATCTTGTAATTAGTAAAACCAAGAATAATTGAACTAATCTACTGATTGATTGACAAGATAGTTGGACAACCATTCATGTTAGGCCCACTAGAGTCAACCTGAAAACAAGATGTTAAGAAACTGATGCAATTTAAAATCGTGTCTTTCAATTTCCCATGGGATATCATGTTAACCATCCACTACACCCACGACTTAATTTATCTCTATGGCAAATCTATGCAGTGCTTATGTATATAGATTTCCAGTAACGATCCACTGAGCATTAAACGGAAGGATGAAGATGTGAATTTCAAGCCACTTTTGCAATGAGGTAAAATATTTCTTTGTCCGTAGTATTAGCCAGACTTTTCACAAGCTAAATTCAACTTATTTAGTACCAACTAAAATTAAGGTTTGATAGCATCATCACGAGCCATGACCAACATTGTATCACAATCTCAACCATAAATGCAGCATGCATAACAAGAGATTCATGAGAACTCTCCAAGCATGAGAAATCATCTCAGATTTGATGTACTACTCCCACAAAAATATCAAGACATGTTATCTTGATAAGAAGCAACTTTCAAAGGGAAAGGAGGAAAATGAAACTGAGTACCAGTTGTATCCGCCCTTTCATAGGTATGCGCAGACGGCTCTTTTCCACTTGTGAATCATCAATGCTAAGGCTCCTCTTCATTTTCGAGCCTTTGCACTTGTTTGATGGCAAGTTGCCTGGAAGATCTATAGATGAATAGTACAGCAAGTAGTTATCTCCATCCAAACTCGTTACTGAAAATGGTAATTTCTGTGGGTGAGGAGAGAAATTCCCACCAGTGATATTAAGAACAGCAAGGAAACCATCAATTTTCTGCATGTAAGAATGAAATGCAAGCAACATTGATCATATAAAAGTTTGACAATCGTATAAGAATGAAATGCAATCATTTTTAACAATTATTCAAGCTAAAAACACCCTAGATTACTTATATAACGACTACCCATAAAAAAGGAGAGAAAAACAGGAAAAAAACTCCAAAGCATGAGATAATAAATGTGAACTATGACGCGAATAATATGGATATTAACCATGAATACCAACCTGACTGTCCCTCCCAGATGCTAAACGACCAGATAACAGGGACTCCTCAAAGGAACCAACCAAGGACCTCCTAACAGGCAGTCCACTTAGAGTTCTACCCAGCTTAGCACATTGAGAAGTAAGGGAATCTTGACCCCAATGCACCCCCATGGCAGTTGTCACACTTTCAGGGGTGAACTGGTTAAACTTATTCTGTAAAATTTCAACATCTTGAAATGATTTGCTTGCCATTCTATAGTCGTCTTCTTTCTGGGAAGATAAGATACCCAAAATAGTTCCATCAAGAGACTGTTCCATATCCTTCAAGGTTAAATATTTGTCATCTAAATGTTTGCTGGTATCCTTGCACCCTCCACAGGTTTTCATTCTTCCAGAGAAACTTGGACCAAGAGGAGATAAAGAAAGTGATGAAGAGACCACTTTTTTCAGTGGTATAGCCGTTGCACCATGTGGGGACTCTGATTTAGTTGTCTCCCCAAATTTTTTTGCCCCAGGTTGAGATGAAAAGGGGCTTTGAGATTGGGGCTCATTGTTCTCGAGCAAAGGACCATCAGTAAGGAAACTATAGTTTGTCCCACAATTTTCATCCAGTGAACTTATTCTTACTGGAAAATTAGACGTGCACCAAGTCAGAGGGCTGAAACATTTAGAGTTCCCTATGTTAGCTTTCTTATGCTCCTGTAAAACAGTTACATTATACTTATCACTGCTGACTGGGGAATTGCATTTATTAGTGCCACCAATGTTTATAGATTCACCATTGAATTGATCTGGTGAAAGCATGCCATTCAAAGGTGACAATAATCGTTTCCTGACATGTGACCTAGTTGTCTCTGTTGCATTATCAGTGCTACTAACCAAATTGGATGAGTGAATTCCATCTGGTTGATTACCCTCGAAAGCATTAGCAGGGGTATTGAATACCTTGGATTCGAAACCCACAATGCGAGAAACTGGACTCTGAATATTCCGTCCAGTATTATGAGTGAAGAAGCTACTTTTCTCTGTGGAACCAATCTGCAACCTATGCATGTTGGTCATACCATCTTTATGCATATTGAGAGCATCTGGATCCTTTGAAAGATCCCTCAGAGAAGAGCATGGAAAATCCCCCAGCATTCGAATGCCTTGGTGCCCTCCATGCATTCCACTCAAATCACAGCTACTCACACCAACAAATCTAGGTGGTGTTTGCATGAATGTGCTCAATGATGCTGCCACTTCCTCAGCAATTTTGCTGGAGGACGCTTGAGGTAACCCCATGACTAATGTTGAAGAGGTTATTCTCCCAGATCTTCTGTAAATCCCTAATTTGTTACCTTATCTGCTCCACTACACTATACTATCTAGTTCATCTGATCGCATTTTTAGAGGGCAAATCAGTAAGGAATTTTTGTCGCCCAAGCAATTGATGCCATAGAAGAAGATCCTACACTTAAATGTCAAAAACCTAACCAACTTTCATAGCTATGGTACCACTATCTATCCGCTGAATTCATCCCCATTCCAACATAAGCTCCCTCAAACAATTGTGCAGAGATATTCAAGCACAAACCAAAAACCAAAACAGAGTAAGCAACACAATGCTTATTCTTTCTCTTGCACCAGCAAGGAGAACGAAACCAGATGTTCATGGTTTACTCTGCAAGACCAAGGCCCAAACCTGAAATGATGTTCAAAAGGAAGTCAGTTAGCTGCACTTTTGTGGTAATAGAACATTCGAAGAGAGCAACAAACGGACATTTGCAGGCTTCGTACTGTCTTAATAAAATGCTCTAGCATGTATTGATGAAAATACTTTGATAACGGCAATAGATGAGGCTAGTTGTCAGTAAGATCTCACAATCCCAAGATATATAATGTAAATATGTTCATGACATGAGCTGCATTAAGCTGGTAAGTCCAGTTGAATTTCTCGGAATGGCATCACCCGGAAGAAAATGTGGAAACTATTTTCTGTCATTTGAAGAAATCGATTACTGCCATTTCCCAAAGGACCCCTTCTTTATGCTGCAAGAGCAACACAATTGCGAAGTGCCATGATCTAGTTCCCAGATATCCTTATCTCAAAAATCAAACACATCCAAAATGTCATCTTTCCATGTGGATTTTTGGAGACTACCAAAATTATATGTATGTAAAACGTAGAAAAACACAACACCTCCCTAACTTCGGAAATCAAATAGTTGAAATTGCGATCGACATCAGGTGACTCATCTCAAATAATTGAAACCAGGGATTATCACCATAGTTTTACCCCCAATTTAGAACAGTCAGCTATGCAGTAGCTCAAAATCCATAAAAACATTCAGACAACAANCAATCGACATCAGGTGACTCATCTCCAATAATTGAAACCAGGGATTATCACCATAGTTTTACCCCCAATTTTAGAACAGTCAGCTATGCAGTAGCTCAAAATCCATAAAAACATTCAGACAACAATCCAACATAACAAAACTTTGCGACAATGTAAACATCACAAATCCACTTTCAGACCAATCTCAGAGCTTAAAAATCAGAGCTTTACCCAATCTGACTCGATCAACAGTCAATAGAACAAACAAAATGGAAACTGAAACCCCTCTAGGGGGAAAACGAAAATCGCTCGCACACAGCAATGGATGATATCAAAGTACAACAATCCAACCAATGCCCATTAGAATTTGCTTAATCCTCCATTTGGGACCCTAAAAACCATAGAAAAAACAACAAAAATAAAACTTCTGAATCCCGGGGTTTCATCAATTAAAACCCAATTCATCAAATACCTCCCCTCACCTACCTTGTCTTAGCTGGACAAAGTCCTTCCATATTCAAAACCAAACAAAAAACATATCGGACATTAATTTCATGATTTTCAATCTTATTTCAGTTTGTCCGGCAAAACCCACAAGGCATATAGAATGAAAAAACCATAGAAATAACAAAAAAGGAAGAACCCCACAAAACAGCAGAAAATACGTCGTTGAAATCAAAGCTGATCAACAAGAAGAACAACAAAAATTTCAAAAAAACCCACCAGTAAACCAATACATAACTTCCTTGCACATATCTATATATTTTTTCACGGATCAGAACTATCAGAAATCTTTGTTGAGAATCAAATAAGCAAAAATATTTTTCTTCTGCTTGGTTGTTTTTGCGTTTTTTTCTCTTCCACCCTCTTTTCTCCAGAACAACTGTATCCTGTAAGGCCTCTAATATCATAGAAGATTACAGAAATAAGTTATTTTCATTATATGTATATAGACGAAAGAAATTGTATATACGTCATTATAAAACTGTAGGCATGTGTGACATTTCTGTCCAAGTTGCGGCAATCTTTTTTTCTGACATTTGTGTCGCTCGGCTACGTTAGGAGCGTGTGACTGTGTGTTTTTGGTGACAAAGCAAAGGCCCAAAGTGACCCTTATCTTTCACAAAGCTAAATTACCACGAAATTCTATGCAAGAATGACAATGACATATGTTGGAACGCATACATGAAGGTTCAAGACCCACCACAAAAATTGAGCGACTAGGATTTACCAAAGAAGAACTTGTAGCAACTATTCTCTGTCACGAATTTTGTGCAATTGTTTCCAAACAAATTTTCTATCCACAATTGTAAATTAGATTCATGTGTTCTTTAATCACGCCTAAATGGAGGAACGAAGAAACATACCCAAGTAGTGGGTGCATAACATCGATCCTGTTTTCCTAATAAATATATTTGCTATACTCAAAGACAAACCCAACAATTATTTACTGGGAACAAATCTTTTAAACAAGCCTTTAGGGGCAATTGTAAAATAGAAGGTACGTTAAATATATATAATTATAAGTAAGGTAAAAACAAAAAATCATGAACTAAGTCTTGGTCATACGTCACCCCTTCTATTTTTATTGGTTAAACTTAATCCCCTCTAACTTTAAAAAAAAAAACTGCAAAAACATTGAGATTAGAATTACAATATACGAAACTTGTTCTTCTGATTCAACTTTTCAACATTTTTTTCCCAATTTTGATTTTTCTTCCACTCGATTAACAAATTGGGCTTGAATATTTACAAGATAGAGAGGCCTAGTTCTTCGTCCTTGGTGGGTTGGTGAATTTTATTAATATGTGGGTAATTTAGTACTTTTTAAATTTCAGTGAAAGTAGATTAGATTTGTAATTTTTTTTAAAGTTGGAGGAGATTAAGTGTAACTCGTAAAAATAAAGGGGAATGAAGTGAGACTGAAGCATAGTTCAAGGGGAGTTTTTGTTTTTTACCTTGTAAGTATTCATTAGCAAGTATTGTAAAACTTATATATGGTGTTTGCTCTTGATTTGAACTCTAGATCCATTATTAGCCACCTTACAACATTGCATTATGCTACAACATAACGTGACATACTTCAAAAGAAGAATTCGGATCCTTTGGCCAAACATAATGTATGATGAAAATTATTTAATAGAATTTGATTGCATTAGCCTCCATCGCCTATGTGTTTAACAGGGACTCAAAGCTCATGTAATTGATACAGCAGATCGTAATCGTAACTGTCTCATGTGCAACTATATTAAATTGAATGGTATAATCTTGAGTTCAACTCAATTTTCAAGAATTCAAATGCCAAATATACACAAAACTTATATAATTAGCATCTTGACATAAACATGGAGGTATAAAAATGAAGATGTCAAGATTAACAATTTATAGGGAAAATTGAAGAAATATCAATTTTAATTGTTCAGGAGTTAGGTGAAAACAAGTTTACCCCCATAAGCTATGTAGCCAAACATACCAGATGGTCATGCCCCGCTTTAGCAATATGAGGTTAGATATGTCATTCCTTACCAATGTTTTGTCCAGAGTTAAAATCATAAAAATAAAAAAATAAAAATTTGGCTGGTTAAAAAAAGAGTGAGAGACAAACGGGAGAGTCCGGACATTATCCTGATAAGCCCTCACTGGGAGATTATAAGACTCTTGGCCGCATCCGTTAATTCTCTCGAAAACGAACATAACTATGGTAGTATAACAGTCAACTACTGAGGTTTAATGTAGAATATAAGACTCAAACCTCTAACTTCAGTGCGAGAAGTTCGACTAGTACCCCACTAAATTATTCCACTCGGCGGTGAGTTAAAATCAATTAATATCTAGTATCAAAGTTCTAACAGAAATGCTATACTAATCAAATTTGGAGCTCAAATGACATGACAACATATTATTTAGAGTCTTTATTGGGGCCCAAATGATATGACATCAGATAAAGAATATCAAGTCAACTGCCATGTCATTTAGGCTCTAAATTTTATCTCAAAATTTGATCAATGTAGTATTATTGAAGTTCTAATAAAACTACATTTTTGAGGTTCAATGTGACAATTCCAAAACATCGTCGTAAAAAATAGGAAATTCCTCTATGGAGGGAAAAATTGTTTAGGCTTGAACACCTAAACCTGCTTTCAAATTGAGGGAAAAAATGTTCTCAAAGAAGTATGATCATACAGTTGAATCTTATCACTCTCCGATGTGATTATGGGGGCGGGGCTACTTTCATGTTTTTTAATTATTGGCCATTTGAAGAATTAGAGCTATGTTGTGACTTAGATTGATGCTACCTGTTGGATAGCTTAAAATCAAAGGCATTTAGGTTGCTACTATAATTGTCATATGGCATACTTTGAATTACAATATAGGGAATAACAGTGACGCTACGTCAATATTATCATATAAAATAACTGTTCAATGTTGACTTACTAAAAAAAAAAAGTGGATTCTACTCATTTAAATAACTGTCCGTCCATATAAAATATTAATCATCTCTATAAAAAAAAAGTGAGATCACGCAGCGATAATATTGACGTGATGTAGCGGTTATAGTGAATATTTATCCCTCAAAATGGTACTTAGCCACCACGCGTGGCGTGGCGTGGCAGGCCCTTAATCAACTTTAGTCATCACATTAAATAAAACATTGGTGATGGTGGGCGTGGAGTGGAGTTTTGATTTTGCTTAAAGGAGCCGTGTCTAACCTTTCAATGAATTGTTCTTTTTCTAGTCCCTCCTGCTTTGCTGCTTTCGAGGGGTTGAACACTTGAATGAATGAATGAATCAGCCTTCTCTTGAAAGGAGGCACATCTACTATGATAATTCATACAAGGCAGAGGGAAAAAAATATATTATTTTAGTTTTTCGATGTTTCGGATTAGGAAGTCTCGGGTAATTACTAACACGATATTATATGCAAGATGTATAGGTTATTATGAGNAAAAAATTTCTATCCACAATTGTAAATTAGATTCATGTGTTCTTTAATCACGCCTAAATGGATGAACGAAGAAACATACCCAAGTAGTGGGTGCATAACATCGATCCTGTTTTCCTAATAAATATATTTGCTATACTCAAAGACAAACCCAACAATTATTTACTGGGAACAAATCTTTTAAACAAGCCTTTAGGGGCAATTGTAAAATAGAAGGTACGTTAAATATATATAATTATAAGTAAGGTAAAAACAAAAAATCATGAACTAAGTCTTGGTCATACGTCACCCCTTCTATTTTTATTGGTTAAACTTAATCCCCTCTAACTTTAAAAAAAAAAACTGCAAAAACATTGAGATTAGAATTACAATATACGAAACTTGTTCTTCTGATTCANTAAAAAAAAAAACTGCAAAAACATTGAGATTAGAATTACAATATACGAAACTTGTTCTTCTGATTCAACTTTTCAACATTTTTTTCCCAATTTTGATTTTTCTTCCACTCGATTAACAAATTGGGCTTGAATATTTACAAGATAGANTTGAATGAATGAATGAATCAGCCTTCTCTTGAAAGGAGGCACATCTACTATGATAATTCATACAAGGCAGAGGGAAAAAAATATATTATTTTAGTTTTTCGATGTTTCGGATTAGGAAGTCTCGGGTAATTACTAACATGATATTATATGCAAGATGTATAGGTTATTATGAGTATTTAAATTTTATATTACAATTACAATTACCCGTCTTTATACTGGACAATGACAACGTTTCTTAGATAATCAATGATGTAAAATATGTGTGGCAACAGATTACTTAGGGTAGAAGACCTGTGTGTGTAGAAAGCACACTATGAAAAGCCAAAAAAATAATAATATAAGCAAAATTGATTGGCCTCATAATTAAGTGGCACTAATGGCATTTGATTCGGATTGAGTCAAATGANATGAAAAGCCAAAAAAATAATAATATAAGCAAAATTGATTGGCCTCATAATTAAGTGGCACTAATGGCATTTGATTCGGATTGAGTCAAATGATCAAAACTCATGGCTTTGTCACGAGCTTTTTTCAATTTTGGGCCGAATCTCATTACATAGGTCTTCAAAACTNGATCAAAACTCATGGCTTTGTCACGAGCTTTTTTCAATTTTGGGCCGAATCTCATTATAGAAAACGTCTTCAAAACCNTTGAGTCAAATGATCAAAACTCATGGCTTTGTCACGAGCTTTTTTCAATTTTGGGCCGAATCTCATTACATAGGTCTTCAAAACTCCATTTTCTTGTGTTAGAAAAATATTCAAAAATTAATAATAAATTATAAGAGATTTTGAATTCAATATCATCAGTTTATTAGCTTTTGACACATGCTTTTATATTAATTGGTTAGATTACAATCTTTATTTTTGATAAAATTTGTACATATTTTCTTCTATTATGGTGGCAATTAAGATTTTGATCGTTCTTATATATATTATTCTATGTAATACAAGCTATACAGTCAATGATACAATATTTTTAGAATTTCTCCTTTTTTTCTATGAATTTAGAGTATGTGCAGGTTCANAAGCTATACAGTCAATGATACAATATTTTTAGAATTTCTCCTTTTTTTCTATGAATTTAGAGTATGTGCAGGTTCATTATACTTTAAAATGGAGATTTTTTTGTGTTCTCGTTCACCGCTACATTGTTCATCATACTTATAATACAGTAATGTTATACTTATCAAAATTTTAAACTCAAGTGATGTTACACAAAATTTTATTATTAAGTATTAACAGGACTCATTTATTTGATGGTAAAAACTGTGTCACATTACTTGGAATGAAAAAATTGGTAAAAGATTTTGGTCAACATAACATTATTGTTACATATGTGTGTGTATTTGTGATTTTATACATTATATGGTGATGCAATCTATAATTGACAGAAAGTTACCCCTAGGAACATGCCAATTTGGAATTTTGTATTATTTTTTGAATCACCCAAACCTCCGATCCAAATACCATCTAATATTTTTTTATTCCAATTTATTTTTTAACGGATCGATGAATAAGTGGGGTCCCACTTGAACGCATCAAGAAAAAAATTGAATATAAAATTTATTAAAGGAGAACTC